AGAAAAATTTTTTAAAATTATTAAAAAACTTTAGTATAATAAAAGTTTAAAGTTCTTGTATTAAAATTTTTACTATGGTGCAAGACATCTAATCACATCACAGCGCTGAATTTTGTAAGTTATTATAACCTATATTATAATAGCGCTGAATTTTGTAAGTTATTATAACCTATATTATAATAGCGCTGAATTTTGTAAACTATTATAACCTATATATGTAAGTGCTGAATTTTATAAATTATTATAAAAAATATAATGATGCTTAATTTATAAATTATACACTATATATAAATTATTTTAATGCTATGTATAAATAGCATTAAATTTTAAATTTTATTTTTTATGTGATCGAAATAAATATTTTGACCCCATTGCTATCGTACAGAGTGTCCAGCTATCTCTAGCATCTAAAATAGCACTAGCAATATCATGAAAATAACCAAATTAGATCCGATAAAATTTTTCTTATTTTTTCGAGTTGACAGCAAGTCAACAGATCGAAAAGACGGCGAAGCAAGTGATGCATCAATGAGCCAGCAATCACATGTGCTACCTCGAGGTCAACAAGAAAAATCCGGTGTATGCAAGGAGAAAGATAAGCAAAGTTTAATGTATTACCAATTCGAGGTTGTTGGCGTGATCACTAATATAGCCAAATTTGCCAGGTATATACGACAATGAAGAGACATATAAAACGGAGGGTCGGCAGGATGGCCTGACAGCAGCTCTTCAAAGATGAAGCAAATTCGCACCCGCCTCTACCCTCCCTTAGGGAAATCTTGCCATTTTTTGCAGATCCTTCAAATTGACAGCCGGCATGCATTACGCAGGTGGAAAACCACCGGCTAAGATTTTGCATCGCTAATTTGACCACAGAGCTTCTGGCTAACAGCCGGCCCGCTTTATGCAGGTGGGAAACCACCGGCTAATGCCAACTATACATCAATTGCACTGATGTATGCTACATCACTTTCAATTGCATATCAATTGCGCTACATAATTCAATTATACATCAAATGCACTGATGTATGCTACATATCTACTTAAAGCAATTTAATAAAGTTTTAAGGTCCAGTGCTATTTGCGCTGGAAGGCATCCAACTATTATATCACATGCGTGCCGTTCTTTTCGATTCTATGAACATATCAAATTACCGTACTGCACTGCCTCTAGTATCCCCCTTGTTTAATACCCCCCTCCAAATATACCCGGGTACTAATGGCAGTGCGGTACGGTAAAATAGAACCAATCTGGTTGAATTTGGTTATGTGGTCGTCGTAATATCGTTAGTGCTATTTTAGATGCTAGAGATAGCTGGATACTCTGCTATCGTATTATTGGTAATTGTTTAGCTTAATTAAATTGTATGCGAACTGGCTATTGATGAAATCTACCAGAACCGGATATGCCAAATCTGAGTAAATATGAACGAGTTATTGTTGTGCCAATTCAAACTTAGAATTCAGGTTTTTTTTTCTGTTCCACTCAAATAACTAGAAGTAATACTAACTATGGAATATACGTATATATTAAAATGAACAATTGATGTTGGGAAATAATATTACATACACTTTTCCAGAAAGAAACCGCGAGCGATCACAAAAGACCGTAAACATGTTAGTGATCAAACACAAACAAGATTTGTATAATATTAGAACCTTGTTCATGCGATTCCCATAACTCAAACCGGTACTGTTCATTTTGTAAACAATCACTTTACAAAAAACTTAGTTAATAGATATGAAATGAACTTGTTTGTGAATTAGCCTTTTCTGTAAATTAATTGTCTGCGAACTAAGTTGTCTATGAAGTGATTGTCAGTAAATAATATGGGTCAATGCGATTTATTGCATTAACCTTAAAAGTAAAGTAATTAAGGTGAAAATAAAAAAAAGTACTGTAATATATATATAAAATATGCGAAGTTCTGAAGGTGGCTATGTTAATAAGCGTGAAATCATAAGGAAAAAGAAGAAAAATCAGTAATATCAAGTGCTCTGGAAAAGAAAAAGGAAAATGGATGAAATACTCCTGCTTCATAGCCTCAAAGCTTCCAATGACAACAATGAATTACTTATAATTCAAAGGATTAGATTAGATGTGACAAACTCTTTGTAGAGATAGGATTAAACGTATAAAAGAAGCGTTTATCAAATTAAGAACAACTTGCCTTCGGGTTAAATATTTTCAAGTTTTATTTTTGTCTAATTCTTCAATAACAAAAATTTTCTATAATAATTTATAATAAAATTCATTTTTAAAGTATTTTGCACTTTGACTAATATTAACCAAAAAAATGAGACCGTCTAAGCGAGTTCAATTTTTAAAAGATGTTAGAAATAAAAAAATGCAAAATGCAGAGAGTGAATATTATATATTTCAATAATACACTTCATATAATATATAAACTAATCTTACTTCAATATATTTGACATAGATAATGAATTGTTTAGTGATGAAGCTTCCGAATGTGAATCTTTAGGCAGTGAACTTTCAGGTGTTGATTCTTCAGATAATGAATCTCCAAGTAGTCAATCTTCGAGCGATGAAAATGATTGGGTGGATGAACTCTTTGAACCCAAGTCAAACGCATATACTTTAATGTTTGATGCCGCCAATAAACCTAATGCATTTGAAAAAACTTCTCGAAATGGATTTTATATTGGAAATGCAAAATCAACTATGTGAAATAAAAGGCGAAGTTGGAAATTAGCTGCACAAGGTTCTCAAAAAATCACTAATTATTTTAGTGTTAATAATAGCAAAAGTAATGAAGTGCTTGAAATATCTGAAATATTTGATTTAAATGCTGGTAATAATTGTTATAGATCATAATAAAATCGGATTAAAATGAAATTTTAAGTTTCTATTTACCTTCTAAAACTCATTCTTGTTTACTATAAACTCTGCTCCTAAAGCTAATCTCTAATGCTAAAACCAAAAAGCTAAAAACATGCCCCAAAATTTTGTATTTTTCGGTGGCTTGTCTATTTTGTACTATACAAAATTTCATTTTAATCTAATTTCATTTTAATCCATTACAATAATTATTCATTACGTTTTTGTTATAATTATTTAATATTTAATCATAAACATTATAGATTCTTCTGAAGAAGAAACTTCTAAATACACATTGTCTGAATTAGAACAAAAAATAAAAAATGGAACACAGGATTTTCGGCTTCAATATACTGCACAATACCTTCGGCTTGTAGAATCGGGACTTACTAGAGCGCAAGCAAGTAATACAATTTCAACTTCGCTCAACCGTGGACCTTGGACTGCACGTTTAATAAGAACTTGGGGTAATCAATATACAAAAACTGGTACAATTCAAGCTTCAAAACGGGGAAAACATCAAAAAATCCGGTCACTTTTACTTGATGAAGATATTAAAAATAAGCTTCTTGAATATTTAAGCTTTCATAAGTTTAAATTAAGCATTCCTAACCTTTGTGACTATGTTCGTGATGAAATATTTCCAAGCGTCGGAATTGAAACAGGAAAAACTATTAGTAATAAAACAGCGCAAAGATGGTTAAACAATTTAGGATGGGAATTTAAACCATATCAAAAGGATATATATGTTGATGGCCATGAACGATCGGATGTTGTAGAGTATCATCGTAGTTTTTTAGATAGTATGGCGCAGTATGAGTTATTAATGCCAGATTGGTCTGATGATTTAACACAACAAATCAATCCAGTTCTTCCTGCTGGAGAAAGGTTACATATACTAGTAACGCATGATGAATCAGTATTTTATGCAAATGATGGTCAAAGGGCATTTTGGGCACCTATTGGTGAACAACCGTTACGTCCAAAATCAGCTGGGGGTAGTATAATGGTTAGTGAGTTTCTTTGTGATACAATTGGACGACTTCGATTAGATAATATTCACCAGCAACAAAATAATAGTCTTCCATTTGAACAACAAATTCCTACTGAAGCCTGTTGTATTATTCACCCTGGTAATAATCGTGACGATTACTGGACAATTAGTGATGTGGCGCAGCAATTAAAAAACAAGGCAATTCCAATATTTGAAGCAATGCACCCTGGTTGCGTAGCCGTTTTTGCTTTTGATAATAGCAGTAACCATGCTGCATTCGCTAATGATGCTTTAGTAGTTTCACGAATGAATTTCAAATCTGGTGGTCAACAACCTCAAATGAGAAATACTTATATGCGGGATGGTACTTTACAAGAAATGAATTATCCTGACGGCACACCAAAAGGAATGTATCAAGTTCTTGAAGAAAGAGGTTTAACCTACCCTAATTTAAAAAAAATTTGCTCAGATTGTAAAAAGCGAGCTCCTCAGGAACGTGATTGTTGTGCTACACGAATTTTAAGCCTAGAACCAGATTTTGCTAACCAAAAATCACTTCTTGAAGAAATTGTCGAAGAGGCAGGTCACAAAATTATTTTTTATCCAAAATTCCACTGTGAATTGAATTATATTGAGAGTTATTGGGGTGCAGTAAAAGTTAATACACGTGCTAACTGTGATTATAGCTTTAAATCTTTAAAAAATATTGTTCCAATGGCTCTTGATTCAGTTCCTTTAATTCAAATTCGAAAATATTCAAGGCGTTCACTACGTTATATGAGTGCATATAGACTAGGATTATCTGTAAAACAGGCTGCTTTTGCTGTTAAAAAATATAAATCTCATAGAAGAATACCAAATAATATACTAGAAGACCTGAATATTGAATAAAGGTGAGTATATTAATGATTAATTTTTTAACATTCTTATACATATGTATTTTTTTATACTTTAAGATTTCTACTTTTTCAACCATTATTATTAGTATTTTATATACATATATTAGTATAGTTCTATTGCAAATAAATATAAACAAGTTATTAAATATATTAAACATTTTACGTATAACCTGTATCGGTAAATTCTTACTTATTGCTACATACTAGTATTGCTGGGTGAATCCAAATTGGTCAGATCTGCCAAATCTGTTATATATGTAGCATATGGTAGAAAGGGCAGACAGAACGGTAAAATCTTATATCATCATAAATGTACTGTATAAAAAAATCTTTAAAATAAAGGAACTTACTTTCAAATTATAAAGTATTAGTAATAGTCTCTATGTACTGTAGTGCACTGACCAAAGTACCTGGGGTACAATACAATCCATTCAAAAAAAAACTTACAAAAGACCCGGGTCTATTGACCGTTACGGGTCTATGTCGCAAGAAAGAAAATTTTCAAGCATATACATATTCTGTACTTACAATAAGCAGTTTAAAAATTTAAAAAAACTCATGTTTAATTAATAGAGATGGGTACTTTGGTCAGTGCACTATGGTAGTACTTTTATTCGTTGCAAAAATCATTAAAGTAATTTGATCGTTACATTGTCTCTAACCTTCATAAAACCAACATTACTTATTAATAAAAAAAGTATATGTTGATTAATAATCAAACTCCTTATCTATTTAAATTGATAAGATTCATGATTAGCGTAATAAATTGATCTTGAACCGTGATACTGTAATATATTACCATAAAACCGGGAGTACAAAAGATCGTATTGATATATCCATATGAACAGGAGGAACCGTTAATATTACACCAAATGAGGAATTATATCCATTACACTTGAAGTTACATATAAATAATTTTAGTTTAATTGTGAACGATGGGGCAAGGGATTATATCCATAACATACATTTTAGTGTAAATACAAAATAAATAATTTTATTATTGATTGACTACATTGTGTGAAGGATTAACGTATAACATTGACGGTTCCTCCTGTTATCCATATGTGATCTTGAAACACAAACCAACCTTATAATTCAAATTATTAAATTTAACTCAAAGCTACTTGTGCTCATTGGGTCCTGACAAGTTTACAGAGTTGAATAATATTCTTTCAATGCTTTAAGAATTTGAGAAGTGTCTATTAAACAATTGCAAAAATTTGTAAGATAAAAGTTGTAAATATAGAAAAAGGAGTTTACCTTATAAGTATTATATATAGAATAAGAATGGATATATTTAGGATCGAGTTAAGCTAATCATAATTTATATAAGCGATAATAGAAACACCAAAATTTGAACTTGCAAATTTAGATTTTTTTTATAGTAAGTTTTAGGTTTAAAAGCTGAAGCTGAAGTCTGGTTTTTTTTGGTTATCACTATAACTCTTCAAATCTGACATATAACATAAATATAAACTCTTATATAATGCTTTTAACAATTTGCAGTGTACTGTATTATAGATAAATTTTAACTGGCTTAAATTCAAACAACGTGTTTAATAAAAATAATTTAAAATCTATTTAATTTTATTGTAAGTTGAATCTTTAATAACTCAAGCATGATTATTATTTGTATTTTGAGTTTATAATTTAATATTAATAAAATAAAGTGCTGAATTTAATATATAAAAAAATGCTGAATTTTTTAATATTATTAATAAAATGAAGTGCTGAATTTAATATATAAAAAAGTGCTGAATTTTGTATTTTTATTAATAAAATCAAGTGCTGAATTTTTTAAAATTATTAATAAATTAAAGAATTTTTAAATCAAAATAACTTTTTAACAAAAAAACTTTTTTAAAAAAACTCTCTATAGCTATATTCCTTAGGTCTTAGATAATATAACTATAGAAAGATTTTTTTAAAAATTATTATTAGTTAAAAAGTTATTAAACTTTTATTGAAAACAATTATTTTGTGATGTGATTAAGTGTCTCGCACCATATAA